TTCCAAGTAGGGTTCTTGATTTTCAGACACTGCTTAATGTGCTACAAAAACATGTTTCTCTTGTTTCTGTATCAAAACTTCCTCCAAAGGTGTTTGGGTGTATTGCGTATGTGCATGTCTATCTCATCAGTGGAGTAAGCTTGATGCATGTGCTCTTCGATGTGTATTTATTGGGTATGCTAACAATCAGAAAAGCTGTAAGTGTTATCATCGTCCGACTCAGAAAACTTATATTACCATGGATGTCACCTTTCACGAGAAAGTTTCGTATTTTATGAAGTCATCTTCTAACTCTCTACTTCATAAGGAGAATGAGAGTTAAGTGCAGATTTGAAAAGATGGTATGGATGATGTGTTATAGGCATAGTTGGGGGCATAATCTATTATATTGCGTGATACTGATTAGTCGACTATAGATAGTGATCGGTTACCTATCATTCCTGAAACTATTTCTACTGACGACAGATCAAATGTGCCCAACGAGTTGCCTATTAGTATGTCTGATGAATTACATTCTGATGATCGATTGCATGCTACTTGTATGTCTAACGAGTTGCTTAATGATGGTTCGTCCAATAATGATTCTTCTAATAGTTTGGTACAAGATGGTGACATACATGAGGTAAATTCTGACGATTGTTCTACTTATCAGTTGCCTCCACGAGCTAATCATGGAAAACCTAAAGTACAATATGAGCCTGATCTGCATGCAAAGGCCAAATATCCTATTAATAATTATATGTCTACTCATCGTTTGTCCAAACCATATGCATCTTACATATGTCAGCTATCTAGTGTATTAATTCCAACAAAATTGCACAATGCTTTGTTTGACCCTAAGTGGGTGAATGCCATGAGAGTTGAGATGGAAACTTTGGAAAAGAATTCTACTTAGGATTTGGTAGAAAGTTGTTGGATGTAGATTAGTGTTCACTATTAAGCACAAAGTAGATTATTCTATTGACCGGTATAAAGCCAAATTAGTTGCTAAGGGTTATACTCAAACCTATATGGTGGACTATTAGGAGACTTTTGCTCCTATTGCCAAACTTAATAATGTGTGTGTTCTTCTATCCTTAGCAGCAAACCAGGATTGGCCTTTGTTGCAGTTTGATGTTAAGAATGATTTCCTTCATGGTGATCTTAAGAAGGAAGTTTATATAGATCTCCCACCTGGTATCGAAACATCTCTTGGAAAAGGTGTTGTATGCAAGTTGCGAAAGGCTTTGTATGGTTTGAAACAATCTCCTAGAGCGTGGTTTGGAAGGTTTACAAGTTCAATGAAGAAGTTTGGGTATGTCCTGAGTCATTCATGTCATACTTTGTTTATAAAACGACAAAATGGTAAGCTAACTGCATTGATTATTTATGTTGATGACATGATAGTGACTGGTGATGATTAGAATGAGATACAACGCCTTCAAAAGTACCTAGCTACTGAATTTGAGATGAAAGAATTGGGTGAATTGAAGTATTTTCTTGGAATCGAGGTTGCACGATCCAAGCATGGTATTTTTCTGGTCTCAACGGAAGTATGTTCTTGATTTGTTAGCTGAAATAGGTATGTTAGATTGCAAACTTGTTGATACTCCAACTGAGCAGAATCATCGTCTGGGCTTATTTTTGGATCAAGATCTTACTCATAAGGAACGGTATCAAAGGCTTATGAGGAGATTAATTTATTTGTCTCATACTCGCCCTAACATTGTTTATGCAGTTAGCGTGGTAAGTCAGTTTATGCACTCACCTAGTGAAACTCATATGGATACAATAATCTGTATTTTGAGCTACTTGAAGATGGCTCTTGGCAAAGGCTTGGTTTTCTCCAAGAATGGTCATTTGAATGCCAAAGGGTATACAAATGCAGATTAAGCAGGTTTTATCACTGATCAGTGATCTACATCTGGATACTTTGTGTTTGTGGGTGGTAATCTATTTACTTGGAGAAGCAAAAAATAAAAAGTGGTGGCTAAGTCAAGTGCTAAAGCTGAGTTTCGTGGTATGTCTCATGGTATATGTGAGTTGTTGTGGTTGAAAAAAATGTTGAGAGATCTTGGATTTAAACCAAGGGTGCTATGAAACTCCATTGTGATAACAAGGCTGCTATTGAGATTGCTCATAATCCAGTGCAACATGATCGAACAAAACATGTGGAGATTGATTGACATTTCATCAAGGAAAAATTGGATGCTAGAATTATTATATTTCCGTTTATGGGATCTGAAGATCAACTCGTTGATGTACTTACTAAGGCTGTGTCTAATAGTGTGTTTTCCAACTCGCTTGACAAGTTGGGCATGCGTGACATCTTTGCTCTAACTTGAGAGAAAGTGTTGCAAGTTAGATATTAGTTAAAGTGTAAATAGTAGTCTGTTGTCCCACATTGATGAAGTGCATATGTAATATCAATCGTAACTCCTATATATACTCCACTTTGAAGATTAATGAATATATAAAAAATTCACAAATATTATCATATATATTTTTGGTATTTACCATGTTTAGTTTAATTATACGAATGCCTACTGGGTGCGCCAAAGCTCACCGAGCACAATTAATGAATATACCCAAAAAATCCTCAAGAATTTCAGTGAAGGATTTGCCTTTTTGAAAGTTGTTGAAGCCGGTCTTGAGCATGTACTCCACATCTTCCGGGTAGACTGTGACTACGTTCCGCGGTGCGCCGAAGCCGGCCACGACGATGGCGTTGGTGGTTGATTCTGCAAGGAGGTCAGTGTACCAATCCAAGATGCGGTTGCGGTTGTTGTAGAAGGAAATGAAGCACCCGATGACGGGATAGCTTGGTGGACCTTGGCACGAAAACTCATAGACTCGCAGGAATCTCGAAAAAAGCACATGCAAAACATAGAGAATCATTGCAAAGAAAACAAAAAAATGGATGCGTGAAAAGTGATATGAATATTCCCCATCTTAGACATGAACTCAGACTAAGCAAAAAGTAGCTTCCGGCAACCGCAATGTTTTACAAGGGTTTGAATTGGTTAATTATTTATTAATTTATATAGTTTAATTTTGTTTTCTTCGGTCATGGTGTGAAATGCACATATGTATATTCAATTATTTTACGCATCTTAATAATAAAGTGCACAAAATCCTCTCCCTCATTCACCCTCTATAATTAAGACCAAGTGTTTGATGTAGTTTTGTCCAGTGTATGAACTTATGCAAATACAAACAGATACGACTTATGAACCAATATAACATATGAACAGAATTGATAGTTCATTCGCTAGTGCCAGTTTTACCTCTGCTAAGGCGATATTCAATGTGACGTGTTTTTGCACATTAAAAAGAATCAACCGTAGAGTCTTGAGAAGAAACGTTTTAGATCAATAATACAATATTATTTAGAATTTAAGGGAATTGTTATTGGTACTCCAAAAATCTCATTCTACACTTCAAACTTTCTATATTTGGAAAGAAAAATACACTTGTGAGGAAGGTGGAATGAAAATTTTAAAGTGCCAATAACACTTCCCAAATTTAAACACATAATATTATAATATCATTTTAAAACGATAATAGCGTTTCAAGAGGCATATGCAAGCCATTTCCCTCGTGTAGAAGTTAGGAGCACAAAATATAATTTCTATATGTTTTGATTACATCGGATGGACAATCACCAAAAGTGTTCACGTTTTGGTGCATTGAAAAATCTGATTAGCCGCGTAATTAAAGGTGTCGACAAAGTGCGCACATATATTTATGTACAGCGAAAACCAGCCGTGCAGGATTTATGTACAGCGAAACCAGCTGCATGCCCGCATGGCTGCATCTTGTAACCAAAATGACACCTGCCTCTCCCCAATAAGACGTGTGTTAATGTGCTCTCATCCTCCATGCATTAGGAATAGAAATCATGTTTCTCTTGTAGCTGACAAAATTTTTTAAGAGCGTTGGTCTACAGATGGACAGCCACTCAGACTATAGTGTTTTGGTTCAATATTGTATTGTTACGTTTAAATACGCACATGATAATGCGTTATTATACATAGACTTTATGTGATAGTAAAATGTTTCATGTACGTCTTTTGAGCAAAATTTTGGAGTGTAACTATTAAAATATCCCCTTATTAGTATGAGACTTATTATTAGCACTTCAAAAATCTCATTTGGCACTCCAAACTTTCTATAATTAGAAAGAAAAATACACTTGTGAGGAGTGTAGAATGAGATTTTTAGAATGCTAATAACAGTTCCGATTAGTATTTATTTCATCTTTTGGAGTGTAACGTTAATTTTGTGTTGTAACGTGATGACTTATAGTATTGTATAGCTTACGTTTTATGACCGAGTAAAATTTGGGGTGTAACCAGGATATACTCTCCCATGACAAGACAAAACGGAATGGTGATGAGGGGTTACACCTCACGATACATCCAAGAAGAGCTCTAAATTCATCTATTTCGAGAAGAGCAACTCGCATTACATGTCGGATTATTAGCACATGTAGTCACAATAACAACGTACCAAATCATATAGGTTCTTCTTTGAGAGACCCTATCCATTAAAGTCCAAGATAGGTCGGGCAATTTATATGGGGCAGTGTTATTCGTATACCCCTTTTACCTCCTACATGCCTTTATTAATTTCCATCCATTGATCTTTTTATATTCATTCGATTCAATGATTGAAAATTGAGAGGGTTTGTGAGAGATAAAAATGTGTGCGGGTAGCACCACCCTTTTATATATTAATTGGTTCATTTTAGAACGAGAAAATTGTAGCAATGATCCCTTAACTCTAATCTCATTGGAGTAATGGTCCCTCAACTAAAAATTCATGACCATTGATCCCTTAACTCATCAAAACGTATAATTAGGGTTATTTTCATCAACTCTATCAGCATTCAACTCATGTTAGAATGACCAAACACAAAGATTCGGAGAAGACATAGATTCAACTTTTTTTTTTTTTTTTTTTAATCCAGACATAGATTCAACTTAACCAATCTTGGCTTAGGTGGTAATACTGTGAAATATACCAATATGGGCATGGCGATGTGTATGATTGGGCCTAGCCCAATAGTTCGTTCACCATCATCAATTATCCTGATCAATCAATCAATCAATCTACTTTCCTCCTTCAAGTCACAGAGTGTTCGACGGTGGAGATCTTCTCCGTCTCCGTTTGCCAAAACCATGTCAGTCCCCTACCCTGACCTTAGCTAGGGTTTTCCTTACATTCATGGGGGGGTGAAAAAAATCCCGGGAAAAAAAAATTAATGAATGAAAATTTTTAGCAAGCTCAGTTGGGTTTGTATAAGATTTATTTCTTTTGGGGGTTTTTTAATTTGTGTTTTGCAGAGTGTGTGTTAAAAAGATTGGATTTTTAATTTGTACTTGTGCGTATTTTGTTGGAAAATTAAGGTGGAAATCTGTGAATCGTCCGCCGACGCCGGATGCTGCAGAAAATCAAGAAAAAGAACCTACCCTTCAAGAGCTTATCAACATCGAGGTGTAGTGTTTTATTTTAATTTAATTTAATTTATTGTTACTGTTTTTATTTTTGGAACTGTGGGGTTGATTTTACTGAGCTGACTTAAGATTTTTCCGGTTTCTGGTTCGAATTTGCTGCCTGATTTTTACAGTTGATTGAGAGCGGTGAAAAGGAGAGGTTGATGGAGCTTCTGAGGGAAAGGCTGATAGAGTGTGGATGGAAGGATGAAATGAAAGCTCTTTGCAGGTATTTATGGGACCAATTCATCAGTTACACTGTATGGAGTCAGTAAACAGTAAAGTTTCATTATTTGATGAGTAATTTCGAGGTTGATGCGGGTTAGGAGAGTTGACCTCTCTAATCTTCCCGCCCTCTTGTACTCAATTCGAATTCAATTCACCCTCCCTTCAGACTAGAGTTGTTTAGAATATATAATCGTCTTGTCATAGTAACCTGATGGTGTGGGACGATTGGAAATCTTTTAAAATGCGCCCTCGCTGGATTTGTGATGCCTCAAAAGTATGACAGTTGTTAAAAATTCAACGAACCAAGTTTCGATGTTGATCAATTTAGGCAACACTTGGGAGAAGATTGATTTGAGGTCATGTTGGTATCTACTCTACAAGACAACTGGTTTTTGCTGATTTCCACATCTTCCTCTTGGAGGTTGCAGCATGGTCCTAGGGGCTCGATGGTTGTGTAAGCTGAATCTTGTCCTTGGGATTACAGCAACCTCGATTGTATGGGAACTGTAGGGACTAAATGGCTGACTAAGATGGCTTCAGTCATGAACTATTTGATAACGTGTACATTGAATCATCCATTACGTTTCTTTATTTCAATATCGTTCTGTGTATTTAACATAATGTTTTCGTACAGCCAACCAAGTGTTGACATATCAAGGTTGCTAATTGAGCATGTTTTAACCCATGTATATCTTTTTCATGTTAGGGCGTTTATAAAGAAAAAGGGGAGGAACAATGTTACGGTTGATGACCTTGTACATGTAATCACCCCAAAGGGCAGAGGTAACTCTTTCTGTCGTGCATCGTATTCTTTTGATTGTTTTAAACTCTCAATGTTGTATGAAAGGCCTTGTTTTTCTGTGGAAAACTTGCACATCTTATTTTACCAATTTTCGTATGGCATACTGTGTTTGGTGTGCGTAATGCAAAGGTAGCATTGAGAGTACAATAGTTGATGGTGTCTTTGTGGGAGCGGGGTAGCATGATGGATGGTGTGGGAGGAGTTGGACATCTCTGTAAAAATGTGCTGGTGGTGTCCGTGAGGGATTAAGGATTGTTTAGATGACGGTGTCTTTGAGCATACGTAATGAAGTCGGGTGGGCATGTGGGTCGGAGTGATAGTCTTGTATTAAGTAGAATAGGTGGTTTAGGAAGCTACCAGAGCCAGGGAAGGTGGTTTTCCGGCCCTTGCGGTCATGGTGTATCTGTTTTCTTGTGGTGCTGATCATTATGGTCATCAAAACCCCTTCACTCTAGGTCGAGCGAGGTTTTTTTTTTTGGTGTTACTAATACTACACTTATCCTCTGTAGTAAACTTGATTGATTCCTTCACAATCTTATCCTCTGTAAGTGAGACTGCGATTTACTCGGAAAAATGAAATGAAACTGAGCGTACGTATATTTACAATCAAGAAAAGTAGTCTTAGAATTAAAAGAGATTCAAGTTACCTTGATCTCGATTGACCTTGACATACTTTCATCCAATTTCATGTTAACGAGATGTTGATCCCCCGTTTGCCAGTTAGTACTCACTTCTTTGTGTCTTCGAATTAGTTGATCTCACTGTTTAAATTTGCTATACGCAGCCTCCGTCCCCGATTCTGTGAAGGCGGAACTTTTGCAAAGAATTCGTACATTTCTCATGTCAGCAGCTATTTGATGCACAGTGTGGTTCCTGGTTGTGACAATATTATGATGATGATGATGATGATGATGATGATGATGATGATGTTGTTGTTGTTCTTGTTGATGATGATGATGATGATGATGATGATGATGATGACGATGATGGTGATGGTGATGATGATGATGTTGATGATGATGAAGCAGCTTTTGCTGAATGAAACTCCACTAGTGAACAGCTTGGAGGGTGGAGGGAGGCAACTGTTTTTTTTTTAATTTTTAATGGGATTAAAGCGAACGCATGAGAATTGTTTCATTTCTGTAAAGATTCTGCAATCATTTATGCCAGTGATGGGGGAGAGAATGATCCGGATGTGTGGCGCGCTGCAAGTAGCTTTATGGATACTAAATAAATGCTTTGGTACCGGAAATGGGAACGCTTATTAGCAATCTAAATATTTTATTTTACATTGTGTAATTTTCTTACTAATTATAGAAAGTTTGGAGTGCGAAATGAGATTTTTGGAGTGTCAATAACAATTTCTAGAAATTAGTAAGTACATATTTTGCATTTGTGCATGTGGAAAGACTAATTTAGTATCAAATTTTTTAATTCATGTATTTGAAATTAGGATTTGGAATGATTTTCTTCATCACGTACCCCTTCATGGTAGTAAAGAACCCAAAAAACACCTTGTCTGTTGAATTTCAGCCAGAATAAAATTAATAGCACATCCACTTAGTACTCCGGTTTAGAGATTCCGCTTCACTTGTAAGTGAAAAGGTCTTAAGATTTGATTCTCGTTAAAGTAATTTGAATTATATTATTATTAGTTCATTATGAAACTAAACTTACCCTTCCGCTTAGTTAATATAGCGACAACATCACAGCAGTCGTTTCGCTTTTACATCGACCTGACTTTGTGTTTTCATCATTATCAAAGCTTTCAAATGTTGTACAACTTAAAACAAGCAGCTTCACGAGACACGTTCGCTTATTCAGCAGCGCTCACTCACAGTAACACTGTATAACTGTTACCATACAACTCCAGACGATAAAGAAAATTGGAAAGAAAAATGAAAAACCAGATTTAACCCCAAAGCTTGCGCTCCATGGAAAATCTGTTGAAAGCACACAAGCTGGAATGCACCATAAAAACCTACTACATCAGCATATTGCTGCCAACATTTAGCTTATGCTGCAGAGCCCGCTTGTTCGCATAGGTCCAATAGATTCAGGGTCTGCAAAATAGTCAAAACTCATCAAATGGGTTTACATGAAGTCACTACAATTAAACCGAACGGAGTAGAAAATGCAACCAATGGCTTAGATGCCATGCATACCTCAGGAACTGACAGCTCAAGACGGAACTTGGGACCATCATAGTGGTGCAAGACAGGCCTGAAGGAATCTTCTTCCAAAGCCTTGCAGATTTTTCTCACACGGATCCTTACCTAATAATCGAGTATAACAGAGGGAGAGTCTCCATCAAAAAATTGGATACGTGCAAAATATTGAAGGACCAGAACTTTCAACTATATCATTTCAAATTTACCTGAGCAGGAAACCTAGATTCGCCTTTACACTTCTTGTCTTCCCAAGCAGTTGGATCAATGTTTGAACCACCAAAGCTCGCTGCCTACACAAAACCAATTGAAAGAGGAAACAATAAGCTAATATCATAATGACCTATCGTAGTCCACGTCTGCATACTTTCTATACTACAAAGAATATTGCAGTCAAGTCAAAACATATGAATATAATATGCTAAGTTTGAGAACAAACCTCGAAAATGCCATGCAGCTGGTGTGTTGTATAATTGTAGAGGAACAATGGCAACCCTGGTGTTATTGCCCGAACAGAATCTCTATACCTTGGAGGTAAACCTACCATATAGATATAATGATTGATACACATGAGAATTACTTGGAGTGTCAAAAAAAGGAATAAAAAATATATAATTCAAAAGCATAATCTGCATTTGTTAACTCAGGAATTAAGTTGCACGGCTAGAGGTATACATACTAAAATCACAACACTATTCCGTCCAATGTATCATACTCCTATAATTTTTATGAGTGCAGATCCCTATGGATACTCATACTCATAATAAGCACCGGTCCAAACTCAAGGACCCTTTATATGAACTAGTATCTCAGTAAAGATGCATCATGCAGGGAATGCCAGGTAAAAGTCAGCCATTTAAACCTGGACCTTCACTTGTAGACCGCAATTTAAGCTTAAAAAAGTGTAAAACGCTAAAACAGATTTTGAAGGGAGCTGAGAATTAGTCAAACTTACCAAATAGTTGTCGCTTCAAATCTTCCTGCATTGTGTCATTGTTACATACAAAGATGTAACCTCCAAGCACCTCATTTCTTGGGAGCGTCTCAGTAGCCGGCAAGGTCTTGAACCTTTTCTCAACTGTATTTGCAGATTCGTTGTTGTTATTGTTGCTGTTGTTGATTTCTTTGTTGTTATACTTGTTACCAGTCATGTTTCCCGCAATGCTTGCATTGTTCTTCTGGTAAACTGCATTCATGTTGTACATGCCATTCCTGAAGGAACTTTTGCACATATTCTCATTTACTTTAGAATCCAAGCTCAGCATGTTAAAGTATTGGCTTTCAAACTTGTTATCTTCCTGGAATCCAAATTTATCCCTTGCCCTTTGTTCAACTGGGCCCTTTGAAAGATCAAGGTTATTCATACGCTCGCCTTTTACCCTTGTCTGCTCAGCCAATTTTGAAGCGGCCATTAACCATTTGTTATCTTCTGCGACTTTTGACTGCCCTCGAAGCTCATCACCCAACTGCCAAAAGCTGCTCAAGCTCTCCATCTTGCAAACTCTACTCAGATCGACAGGTCCTGTAAAACAGACAAGAAAAAGATATTAATTGAGAAACTAGAAAGCTAAAAGATCGGCTTGAGAACAGAAAACTGGTTAAACTCAAAACGTTAAAACATATAGAAATACGTATAATAAGGAAATGCTTATCTAAACAAATTGCACAAAGGCAGTAATAACTATCCAAATGCCAAAAGGAACTTTGGTTAAACACCATTGATGGCTGATTCCACAAATTAAGCAAGGACAAGTACACAAAGTTCACAATTGGGTCGCAGCCATATACAGAATATAACCATATACAAGTCTCTGAATCTGAATCTGCATAACCACAGAATTGGAAAGACTGCACACATTTAACACCACATCAACCCGAAGTTCAGTTTTCTCCAATGAAAATAATTTTATGAAAGAACATTTATTCATGCCTTGTATATTAGGAAAATAAAGTCTTTCCAACAGCTAAGTTCAGAATTTACCCGAATCACGATAGTTTTAAAAATGGAATGCATTAAAATATTAAATCCTAAAATCACATAAAAAGGTTTTTTTGGTTTCCTATGTATTACTCATTGGGTTTGCACAAACACAGATCCACTACAAATATGGGATGGGAATCCATTTCTCAGCATTTTTTCCAAAATTGTAACACTATTCTTCTCAAAATTTGAAGAAAAATAAACAAAAAGCTCGAAAATGAAGCTTTTCGAATTTTGCGCTACAGACATCCACGAGAAAAAATTAACCTATAATAAGAACCCAGAAAACTGAGGTGGTTAAACTTTTTTCCAGCTAAAAAGTCAACCAAATTACAGAAAAATAAATAAAATTATTCCAAAGCGTGAAAAAACTGAACTAATCAGCTAACAAAACACAAAAATTCCTAAAATCAACCTATAAACACCAAAATCAAAATCAAAGATCCAGACGCGCATTTGAGATTAAAAGCAAGAAAAATAGCAAAACAAAAGAAATTGAGGAGTACCAGATGCAATTAGCCAAATGTAGCAAGTAATTACCAATTAAACAGAGAGATTTAGCAGATAAAATCTTCCATTATTAGGTTTAAAGAGGAAATGGAGGCTGGCTCTGATTTGCTGGAGTGAGAGTGAATTTTCAACTGGTTAGAAGAACCCTAGATTTGGGGATCAGAGGGAAGGCCTTACCTTTTATCTTTGCCCTGTGAAGCAGGAAACGCGACAGAGGAGGATGGCAGCTAGATTTTTACCGTTATATATATGTTTCAGTTTACCGAAAGTGCCCTCGGGTGTTTTCTTAATTACATTTCTTGCCAATTGGGATTTTGAATCTACGCGAGTCGTGAGCGTCACGAATCACGATTCATGGGATGTATCGGTTACGTGGAAAGGTTCACATGATTTTTCAAGCTAAAATTACATTTGCATAACATGAAAAAAAAATGTTAGTATCAATTACTTTATTAAAAATATAACAAAAAAATCAACCAGTTACTTCATCACGGTAGTCTATTCTTCTAGAGGTCGGAAAAATTCATATAGGTTTTCAAATTTTCAACCTCACCATCATGTTATTCAGCGCATGAAACGCAAATACTTATTCACTAAATGGAGAAATAATAGCTTGTAGATACTTGAAGTACAATTATAAGATAGTTAACATATGTGATAAGAGATACATAGATGATGAATTACGACTCTAATATGTGAGTTTAACTCTATGATGTTCAAAAACTAGATGGTTAGAGTATAAAAGCCGCAGTAGCGAATAATGTGACAATCATGTCTAAACGAATTGCAACATGTACTAGCAACACTACATTATTAGGATAAAATGTTACTTAAATTTGATCGATTGTAAAGTTTTTATTCAATATGTGAATTTGTGGAGCTTTTTGGAGTTTTTGGTTCACGTTTTTGGTCAAATTATCAACTAGCTTTTCTTGTAACGATATTTCTCATCCTAAGATCGATAGTAATATCAAGTTCAAAACTCGTATGCTCAAAATACCATCAAACTGTTAACCTAGTGGTAGTTCTCGCGCATATATATATGAAAGAGGTTGGAAATTAAAATCAGTAACCCTTAAAATGAGGGAAGCACACAAGTCGGCCGGTATGCTGGACAAATAGCATGTGATGAGTCCAATGAGGCAAAAAAGTGACAAAAGCAGGCGGGGTCAGTGCAGGGCCGTCGTCCTTTGTCGCCACCTCCCTGCTCCCACTTTCACGTCTTTTAAGTACTTAAAAGCCAACATGCTCGTCCAATTTCGAAATTAGATTTCTTCTTAATGCAAATTTTAGAATTCTTTAATTACATTTGTTCATCATATATTATACAATTTGAAATTATTGTAATTTTTTATTATTTAAAATTAAATATAAACAACATTTTACAAAAACTGACTGTACGATGTATAATAAACGAATATGATTAAAAGATATCCGGAATCCTCACAAAGAAGATCTGACGAGGATCCTCTCTCATTTAGATTCTACCACTTTTTGCAATATTCTGGTTCTATGTGTCGGCAAATACCCATGTTACGTTCTATGACTATAATTATGAATCTATCCCTTAAATAAGTAAGTGTGTTTGTTGTCACATACGAAGTTTTATGTTTAAATCTCTCGCTTTTGATATTGTCTGTACCCGGACAAAAAAAAAAAAAGAAGTAACCACGTGCTCGTAGACCTTAACCATGAACAACAAATCCCCCGGTTGTTTGTTGAGCTGCAGACCAAGCTTGCTTAAATATCATCAACTTGTAAGTTGTAACAATCTTTTATATAATGTCTCATAGTTGGTGGGGTTGGTTGCCATGTAACGCGTGAGTATTGTCAAATATTAAGAGTATTTGTCATTGCACATGCTATTTGGGCTACCATCGCTCCTCAATATTGCTTATAAAAAAATATATAATAATAACAATGAAAAAGGTTTGAAAACTTTGAGTTTTAATGATAAAGATAAAATAAAGGGTAAAGTGAATAGTACCATGATTGACTTTTTAGTGTAAAAATGTAATTTTTCGTTTAAGTAAACATTATCGGAAGCTTTTTGTTAAAATTCCCTTAAAAAAAAAAAAAAAAAAAAAAAGCGAAATCAACATTAGATATTATTAAGTCATGCTCACCCAAATCTCTCATGTTTTGGGCCTTTTCTTGGTTCACGAGCATTGTAAGGGACCGGCCCATCAAATGGTTGATTTTGGGCTGAAGTTCATAATGGACTTGGATTCTGGTTGCCCTTTTTGCACTGACGTCAAGAGACGGGAATGCAAATAGAAAACATTGCCTGGGAAAGTCTTACGGTCTGGCGGTCGTTGAAACTTAAAGCTTGTTTAGAAATACTTGTAAAATATTTGAAAGTGTTTTTGATAAAAATAGGTTAGAACTCATCCTTAATGAGACTTTTAACGAAAGACCCACGGTACTGTTCACTTTAATGAAAAATCACATTTTTACACTAAAAAGTCAATCCTAGTATTATTCACTTTACCATTTCTTTTGTCCTTATTGTTAAAACTCAAAGTTTCAGCCCTTTTCATTAATTTTCCTTAATAAAAATGCAAGAAAATTTTAAAAACAAGAACCCTCTCGTTGCCTATGTTGATATATATCTCCATCTTTCTAATTTATTAAGGGAATTGCTATTAACACTCCAAAAATCTCATTTTACACTCCTCATAAGTGTATTTTTCTTTCTAATTATAGAAGTTTAGAATGCCAAATGAAATTTTTGGAGTACTAATAACAATTCCCTTTATCAATCCTCTTAATAAAATTGCAAGTAAAATAAAAAAATATATATAAAAAAATAAATAAAAACATATTGTAGTCATAACTTTTAACCCGTGGAGCTCAAAAAATATAAAAAAATGTAAATAGGTTCAAACCTTTCCGACCGGGCCGTGACAGGCAGTCCGGTCCGATTTTCCTTCGCTCAAAAAAGGAGCGGACTCACTTCACTGTACTCCTCTCCTTAAACCCTACTCTCCGTACGGAACACGCAAAAACCCTAGCAAATTTCCATTGCCATGGATTTGCAGCACAGCGACTTTGATCGCATCCTCTACTTCGAACACGCCGCAAGATCTCCTAAGCCACCTACACTAAGAATCATATCGATGCCGATGTTCGTATAGATCTCCACCTAATTTATCGCTCGCCTTCTTCATTTTCCGTCTTTTTTTTGAGCTGATCAATTTGGTGGATTTCGAGCTTTTTTTTTTTTTTTTTTTTTTTTAAGAAAAGAAGTTCAATTTTGATCTGGGCTTTTTGTATTAATTGCAGAACTTGAAGAGGTGGGCTGGTGCTCTGCTAGAGCTTTCCCAGTTTCAGAATGTTTTGGAATCAAAGAAGATGACTCTAGGTGCCAACTTTTTTTTGGATTAATTATTTTAGATGTTGGAATTCTCCATGCAGTAATTTGAAATTTGGAACTGTTTTTTCATTTAGTAATTTGAGAGTTTCGAGTTTGCGAATGCGGGTTTGTGTGCTATTTCGAAGCTGGAGGAGGCATTGTTGATTAATCCTAGGAAACATGATGCTCTCATTGTGTCTGGGAAATGCTCAAACTGCTCGCGCATTTTCTGCTCCGGACCAGAATGAAGCAAGGGTTTATTTCGAAAAGGCGTCTCAGTGCTTCCAGAAGGCACTAAATGAGGTACTTCCCCTGAAAAATTTCAAAGAGACTGGTATTGTTTTTCAAGTTTTGATGTGTAGTGAGTATTTTATGTTCTTTTTGCAGGAGTCGGGAAATGATCTGTATCGCAAGTCTTTCGAAGTGGCTGCTAAGATGCACTGCTCTCTAACTTGGTCTCCTTGCTTGGTTTTGTTTCTGAAATTCTGTGTTGGCATCCATTTTGCGGTAGCCAGACACGCATAGAAATTTCAATTGTTGGTTTCTTGAGAAGTCGGTTGCTCTTGATTATAATATTTCTAGAACTGAAACTGTTTTATCTGTTCTATCAGCTTATGAATGTGAGACTTAAATCACAAAGTTACTAATTACTGTGTTTATAGGGGCCGCAACTGTACTCGGATTTGCGCAAGCATGGTTTAGGTCAATTGGGGATGGAGGCTGCTGCTGGAGCCGGACCTTCTACTTCAACTGGTGGGAAGGTGATTTTTCAGTCTCATGGTTCTCTTTTCTGATACCTTTGTTCTTTTATGTTCGTGTTTTATTTACTAAAAGATATTAAGCTTTGCCAACGATTTACAGCAGGGTCCTTGTATCATTTGTTTTTTTTTATTTATACTTTATCTGTTGACGGATTGTTACTTTGTCTCCCTCTCCCTTGCTCTGCAGACTCAAAGAAAAACAAGAACAGCGATCTCAAGTATGACGTATGTGGTTGGATAATCCTTGCTGTTGGAATTTTTGCTTGGCTCAGATAAGCGAAATCCCATGCGCCTCCTCCTCCGCTTCCGCAGTGAGCATAGCAGGAACTGGTCATAACTTTTGGTACTTTAGAAGATAGTTTGGAGATCAATCAAATCATTAATCAGAAGGTGGAGCTAAACCATCCATAACTAGTTTAACTTTTACCGTAGCGATGACAGTGTGACTGATAAAATAGTTTAACGATATTGAAGATTTATCAAGGGAGATATAGTTGACGATTTCACAGCTAGTTTTTGTGGATGCCGGGTTTGTGTTTGCAGATTCAATTCCTTGGTTTCAAATGCCGATCATGACTACGATTATCTTATGTTGGATCAGTAGACAATTAGCAGAAAGAACTAACATATTCGAAACGTGAAATACTGCAGATTCAACAGAAAGTGGTTTCTTAATTACAACAAATCAAGTTTATCAATCTAACAATTACATTAAAACAACTTCATGAATCTAAAATTTACATCTAAACAAGTTCATGAATCTAACATTTACATCTAAACAAGTTCATGAATCTAACAATTACATAAAAAAGGTTGTAACTTTAAGATGAAAACGTACATCAGGGAAGGAATTTAACAGTGGTTTCTTCACATGAGGTGAAAACTATTTACCCAATTCTTAAAGTGATTGCTCCAAGAAAACCTGCTTCAGTGGTAGTCACCATAAGCATGAGGCATGCTCTGAGCAACATTGGAAACATACGCATCAGTGAAAACATCTTCAACTGGCTCTTGCTTCGCCCGCGCCCGCGCCCACCACCGGAACTTCATTAAGCGCGGGAATGTCTCCAAACTTGACCACGTTGATCATAAACCCTTCTTCAAAAGTGGGCAGCATTATTCCATCGGGCATCCCCACCAAATCTTGCCACATAAGCAACCTTGGAAGAACATGCTGCCGGAAAATCAGTGAGTATTCGGTGCTGTTCCTCTGGTAATCATCGATCACCTCGTCAATCGGAGGGAAAATTGTGACCCGGGTCTTCCGATTAAACCCCACCAGCTGCGCATCAATGCGGCAAAGATTGTGTTTGCACCTAAAATATGCACATTTGGGCCGTTCGGGCTACATATGGCATTTGGAGGATTATTGTGCAAAAAGGCTAACTTGGAAGACATTTGGCTGCATCAAGTGGGATGGTTTGATATTAAAATAATGTTTTTCCCTCCCTTTTGTTTGCGTGGTGGAGGTGTGCCAAGAGCTTTATTTAATCAAGACAATTACATGCTTTCCCATTACAAGTGGATTAGAAGACACACAGACATTCTGGCAGATGATACATGGTGAAAGAGGCCAACTTGCTTCTTTTAATTATTAGTTTATTGCAAGTGGTGGAGACATGTGGTGGAAATGCAAGTTGTCATTTTTAATAATATTTCACATGCAAGCTGGTAGAGAAGTTTCTTTCGAACAAGTTCATTGTTCTTTGCAAAGGGGATTTCTCAAATCTCTATATAAAGAAGCAGAAGCACAAGGATTATGGACATTCAAACAATCAAACAAACAAACATACAACTTGCCTCTCAGTCAAGCAAACACGTCTAGACTCTACACCCTTTTAGCCATAGATTCCCCTTAGAAAGACAACTTTAGAAGCTCTACTGCTTTCCCCTAGTTTGGTAGTATCAATTCCCTTTAGGAAACCAACCTTGCTTATATTTCTTGCTTATATTTCCATTTCCCAGTACGCATAAATCTTGCAAACATACAGAGAATGCAAGAGGTTAAATCTTGTCCGACTTCCTTGTGTTTGTACTTACATTTTGTAGATCTATTGTTTAATGCATGTTCTATCATGTTTTAACTCACTTTCAACTGCTTTCTGCTTTAATACCCATTTATGATCGAATCTGGCTAAGTTAGGAAACTTGAACTCTCGAAGTGTTTAACTGTAACAAATCAAGTGGTCAAAAGGGCTTTGGACTCCCTTCATCTAAACATATAAAATCACAAGTAAAAGAACTTAACATAGACTTAACATATCTACGACAATCCTTTGATAAACAAGAAGTTTGAGTAACTTGAGGTGCAAGTAACCACTCAAAACATACTCGTTCTACATCTGCTATATTGAGATAACAGTGGCATGCCTAACTCTTTGTTAGTTTTGATTGCGAACCTCAATGCCAACATTAAAGGCCCTACAAAGGCACATTTCAAACTAACTATTGACTTATCTTGAAGCACACCAAGCAGCAAAAACTCACCAACACATTCACCCAAAATGCCAACCTTCTAGGGAGCTGTGTGAGGGGCCATCCACCTTTTGCCTCAAACAGATTAAGTATCCTTTGGACCTTAGCAAATCGGTGACGAAACCAAAAGATTCGGAACTAGGCCAGAGCGGTTCAACCTCCGTGTTGTAATTCACAACCGTACTCGGAACAGGGCTTGGTGATTGAACACACAAAATAGAGATCGTCAATGGCAGATCCGCTGTGGGTTCATGAAAGGAGTCACTGGCCATGAAGAACAAATTGAAAAACTCGTCGATTGCGTAAACGATCACCAACTCATTGTCCAGAATGGCATTAGGATTGATACCCAAATCGTTGATCGACAAATAACTATGGAAATTTGGGGAGGCGGTGACTATGAGGGATTAATTGGCGAGTAAAGTCGGGATCTTTGTATTGAGTGAAAGGTACTTGAGGGTGTTGACAAAGATTCTTTGTGGGGAGATGTGGTAGAGGAGAAGGGGAAGAGAGGGTTGGCCCAAGAGCATAAAGGCGGTGTCCGGCGGAGTGAAGATGATGGCAGTGGGGGACTCAAATTTGATGGAGTTGGAGACGAGTTGGAAGGTGAAGGACATGGAGAGGAAGCTGGAGTTCGAGATAACATTGGGGGTGTTCAAGAGGGTCCCAAAGGTTGCGAGGGCGGAGGAAGTAAAGAGGGAAATGAGGGCAAGGAAGATCAAGAGAGGGACAAAGGTCGCCATCAGAGAGTACCAAAGCAAAAAGCTTTGGGTTTTAGAATCTTGAGTTTTCAGAGAGAGTCTGTTTGTTGGAATTTTGAGCAAAGAGGAGATGATGCGAGTGTTGAAGGATTCAGTTAAAAACGGTGGGAAATCAATAATGGAGGTGGTTAGTTTGTTTAGACAGCTAGAGCGACTAAACGCACCGTTTTGGAGTGTTTGCTAAATCTGAAATTAAGCCCAACAACATCTTTGTCACATGAGGTAAAAACCCTAAATCGAACTTGACAGAAAAGTCCAGTTTAGGTCCAGACGTAGACATAGATTCTAAGCCCAATCCTCTTGGCCTTTGTTTACTATTTTTCATTGGCATTTCAGAAGAGTTCACAAATAAGTTTCTCAAAACTCCATTTATACTTAAAGCGCCGCTTTGAAGAAAAGATTTGGATACAACTGTTATTTCACTAAAGTTTGATTATTGAAATGTTTCTAACTAAAATTTATAGCTATGAATGTGCTATGAAAATGAAATCGAGACATTCCACGTCGAGAATGTGCTATGAAAATGAAATCGAGACATTCCAAACTACTATAGTTTTCAAGGAGGAGAATCTGAACTCCTATTCAAGGAGGCGGGTGCATAACCCTACAAACTGTCTTATACACAAATATATGCATATAATATATATATATATGAAAATATAGAATATAGCATATTTGAGGGTGGTTTCGGTTTCTCCATACTCATCTTCATATTCAAACCTGTCCAAACGTGTGGGTATCTGTATGTACATGTTCTTGCGGCTCGGATGAGTATTCTTGTTTGTATCGCTACGCTTTTAAACACTTTATTTTTCCTATTAACAAAACATCCCCCTTTTTTTTTGCTCTTCTGGTACTGGTACAAAAATTGATGCTATTTTTACATTGTTTACCTTAGTTGCTTGGGGGTTTCGTAAAGTATTTTTAGTGTTTACTAGAAAGCCTTCTTACACCTTATTATCGAGAGTTTTTACTGACAGTAGTACCTCTGAGGAGGGCTTTAACAGTACTTCTGCTTAGAGAAAATGGGCCTAGTAACGAAAATAAAAAGCCTACAAGATTGACTCATTACAGAAAGGATTACCCGCCTATCGTGCTAATAAGAAAAAAGAGGGCCTTATTAGTTATTCAAGTAATCAAGGTTAGTAAAGCGGGAAGAAATTAAGGTCTACCTGAAGAGCGACATCTATTTTTCATATCACAGTGTCGAGAGACCCATTCTCGATAGAGGAGAGTAGGACAGAAAACATGACCATACAAGATATTGAAAGGCTGGAATGGATAGGTAAGAGGCAGACTAATTGCACCTACCAGGCACATGACTTATTGGCTTAAGAAGCAAGCCAAAAAAGAAGGGATTTTCTTACAGAAGTACTATCCATATTAGTAATGGGTATATATCTATTTGAAGGAAGGTACTCGTGTACATGAATCAAAGTGATTAGAAAAGAACTGAGCTTTCCAACGAACACGGCTTTATTCAATACATTTTTTTTTCCTAACTCTCTTGAGTTTTTGGCTTATTTATGGATCTCCCTATGCCCAATGTCAACGTAGGCCCCGAGATAGTTGAGGACATGGGGACTGAAAGACTTGGTGGATGAGCAAGAGGAGCCCAATTTAAAACGTCTTCGATACGAACTACAATAGTACACCGATGCGAGTCGGGAATGCCCATGCCTTGCTGTAGATTCACTCGAGGAAGCCGAGAATCTCGTGGGCGAGATCTTTTTCAAATTAAGAACCTGCATGGAAGGAATATTACAACCGTATAATTGTGTGCTTCCCACATAATACCGTATGCAAGGGCATACTGAAGCGTGCATGCAGATTACATATATAGTTGTTCAAGTGTGTGTTTACATATTTGATTACGTGTTATTATCGAGTCACGTAAGATTTACCATGACTGTGTCAATTATTAACCAGTTTATATAAGAAATGTAAATTATAGCTCAAATCACACAACCATCACTAATAGTCTAAAATTGTAAACAGTAAATTTAATACAAAGTTAATTGGTGATGACTTCACATTTTGTATTATTTGGGGGGACCAAGTTACTCGATAAGGACCAAACATGGTAAAAGTTTTTGGAGGCAATCAATAAAATTTCATTTAATTTGTATAGATTTGGGAGCCAAATGCATTTTTTAAGTCCTTCATTTCCAAATTCCAAAAACTGGCGCCAAAAAAGATTCCCGCTACAATATTAAAACTTTGAAAAATATCCAGGCAAGGCTTCCCTGGCAAGCTTCTTTCCCTTCAGCTGCCTTCTCAAATGACCGTTGTGCCCCTCTCCACACCATTCCTCAACCAGTAGCCCATCCAGTGGCCGCGAATGCAAAACACAGAAACCGGAACGCGCGCCTACTAAACTGCCTGAATTTCCCAAAGTACCCTCGTTTTCGGTTCATTCTCCCGCAAGCTTCTCGTAAATTTGAAATCACCCGCTCCCAAAACCCCCAATTCAAAATATTCATAAACCCTCCGCCCTCTCTATATATATTCGGTCCAATCCCACCGAATTAATCCAACCCTAAGGCGCAGAATTCGAAAATCCCCCAAAATTCTCCGTTCGAATTTCATCACAAAAGATGCCTGCCTTCCCAGAAGAGCCGCTGCTAGCTCCGAACCCGGATCGCTTCTGTATGTTTCCGATCCAGTACCCAGAAATATGGGAAATGTACAAGAAGGCCGAGGCCTCCTTCTGGACCGCCGAGGAGGTCGACCTATGCCAGGACATCCGCCAGTGGGAAGCCCTATCCGACGGCGAGAGGCACTTCGTCTCGCACATTCTCGCCTTCTTCGCTGCCTCCGACGGCATTGTCCTTGAAAATCTCGCTGGGAGGTTTATGAAGGAGGTCCAGGTCGCCGAGGCCCGCGCCTTCTACGGGTTCCAGATCGCCATTGAGAACATCCACTCCGAGATGTACAGCCTCCTTCTCGAGACGTACATCAAGGACTCCGACGAGAAGCACCGCCTCTTCCACGCGATCGACACCATCCCTTGCGTCGCGAAGAAGGCCCAGTGGGCCCTGAGATGGATCGACGGCTCCGAGTCTTTCGCGGAGCGAATCGTAGCCTTTGCCTGCGTGGAGGGGATTTTCTTCTCGGGGAGTTTCTGCGCGATATTTTGGCTTAAAAAGCGCGGTTTAATGCCGGGACTGACTTTCTCCAACGAGCTGATCTCGCGAGACGAGGGCTTGCACTGCGACTTCGCGTGTTTGCTGTATTCACTGCTGAGGAAGAAGCTGAGCGAGGATCGGGTGATGTCGATCGTACGGAACGCGGTGGAGATCGAGAGAGAGTTCGTGTGCGACGCGCTGCCGTGTGCGCTGGTGGGGATGAACGGCGATCTGATGGGCACGTACATCGAGTTCGTGGCGGATCGGCTGCTGGGCTCGTTGGGATACGGCAAGATGTACAATGTCCAGAACCCCTTCGACTGGATGGAGCTGATCAGCCTGCAGGGGAAGACCAACTTCTTTGAGAAGCGCGTCGGCGAGTATCAGAAGGCGTCGGTGATGAACAGCATCAACGGCAACGGTGGCTCCCATGAGTTCAAGATTGACGAGGATTTCTGAATGTCTGATTGATTGATGGATGTCGCCTCTGCAATATCTTTGTGTTTTAGTACAATTTTAAAATTGGATAAGTTTGTTCGTTAATTTCTCGTTGTATGTTTTCGAAGAATAAATGGAAGATGAAGCCTTTATTACTAGGGGTGGTTCGGTATGGGATACCAAACCGAAAGTAGTATTCCGAATCCCAAACCGAAATCTTTTGGGACGGGAATTTGAAGACCAATCCTAAACCAAAATTTCGGGAATCCCAAAATATTTTCGGGATTTCGGGACAAATCGGGAATTCCAAATTAAAATATGAAATTATGAATTATTCTTCAAATATATAATTTAAGAACACATTCATGAACTAGGAATGTCATTTCATTCACACTACCATTTAATCAAATATTGGCATGCTTGATTGTTTTTATCAGAGTCAAAATTTAAATTAATTAAACCCTTTTGACAATCTGTTAAGAGACAAAAGAATCAAACCTTCTAAAATCATTAGTCATGACAGCAGCAATAATAAAATCCAAATGAATATCAAACAGAACATGAAAAATATGCAAGGTGTAAGGCATTCCAGGTTGCAGAGCATGAATTAGAAACTACTAGCATCAATTATAAAAGAATAATATATAATATATATGTATAAATTAATAATATATAATTTCGGTTTGGTATGGGATTCCCGAAATATTGAGAAGCCAATCCCAAATCCCATACCAAAATTTCGGGATCGGTTCGGGATAGCATCCCGAAAATTTCGGGAATTTCGGTTTGGGAAATTTTTGGTTTGGGATCGGGATTTTTTCGGTTCGGTTTGGGATTTTCGGGATTTTTTTCCACCCCTATTTATTACCATAATCTCATTTAATTTTTGCCCTAATTTAATGTTTGAATTGTGAACAAAACTTATTATTTTTTTAATCGTGTTTTTATATTGAGAAATTTTTTATTATGATGGGAATATGAGTGATACATTATGTGTTTTTATATAAATGGTAAAAAATTGTATTTTTTAAGTCATTAAATTTTTAGTACACATATTCTAATGACAGGTGGAGTATCACTTTGTGTTCTAGTTACACTGAAAATCTCTTTTTTTATATCAACCTCATTGTTTGCTCCAAATGGAGTGCAGCTACTCGTTTTTCGTTAACTATGATAAATTTCTTGTTTCTTGACTTTTGTTCATCGTGACTACATATTGTTCTTAGGTAAATTTATGTGTCATTTTTTTAGGATGCGAATATAATGTGCTGTTTTTAATACTCGGGAACTTCTGTTATCGATGCGAAAACTGTGTAAGTTTAGCCGGTGGGGATTCTAGTAAGTAGTAATTTAGTAAGCCTTGTGGTCGTATACGATGCGTTATTGAAGAAAGACAAGGTTCTACTATAAAATCAATTGAAAATATCGAAAGTAATTTAACTTATTTATAAGTACATACAAAATTCATCATCTCATAAATATAGATTCATTCTCAACAGTTACCTAAGATATTGGGTTGAAAGCCCAAATCTTTCCTTTAAAATGTGGGTAAGCTTCTGGTATTTATGTAATATGTTGCTGTAAGTACTCGTCTACAAAATGGCAGGGAAGAGATGGCCTGCGACAAAGCTGAGGTTGGAGCAGATGAATTTACTGAAAGGACGAGAACAATTACAGGAGCAGGTAATATCTATCCTAATATGACAACTATAATTAATGTTAAGGGTTTATGTTTCTAAAGCACCATAAGTAAATTTTATTTAGGAAAACTAATGAAAATGGTTTGAAAATTTTGAATTTTAACGATAAAGACAAAATAAATGGTAAAGTAAATAGTAAAAGTTTGACTTTTAATGTAAAAATATGGTTTTTCGTTAAAGTGAACAGTACCGCGGACTTTTCGTTAAAACTCTCATTTTATTTTTCAGCAACTTTTGACGCTAAAGCGCACACGCAAATTTCCCATTGATGATCAATCTGCAATCCTCGAGAAGGTATGTAACGTATGCTGGCTGTTTATAATCTCTTCGCTACCGTTGGATCAAAAATTTGGAACCTATGTGATCGAATGGTTGGTTTTATCTAACTGGATTAGAGAATAGGATGGTGAATGCGAACGCCTTCTTGAAATTCTAATGTATGGTGTTTTGTTCTTATAGCTACATCAACAGATGGAACATACCAATTTTGACAGTGCTGCATCGATCTGTTTTGTCATTAGAGCAAATTCAGGAGATTGTTCGAAGGTGGGCGTCAGCCTTTATTTAACGTTAGATAGAGTGGAATATGTATCAATGATGCAATGTAGTTGTTACTTTGTTTTTGTTTTTCAAACTGCTTGTTAATCACATATAGAATGCATATTATTGAGTAACTTTGTTTTTCTTTCACCCTCATCCCCTCTATTGTGAAAAAAAAAAAAAAAAACGTCTGGAAAGTTTGATGGAACTGGCTAATCACGTAGATGGTCAAATCAACCTCATAAAAACACAAATCTCTGTATTTTAGTTTCATCCTACACGTATGAAAACCGTACTAAAGAGACGCCAAATTATAGATAAAAAAAAAAAAAAAAAAAAAAAAAAAACAAACAAGAGGAAATGAACCAAAACAAAGGTCCCACCGAGATTTGAACTCGGGTTACTGGATTCAGAGTCCAATGTCCTGACCACTAGACCATGGGACCAAGTTGGTAAAAGTTGGACTTATTAGTTATATAAACCTAGCAAACTAAAGGGCCGTAGCCATTCACTGGCCGTTCACATGACAGGTATTTGAATATTAAAGGTCGGTTGAAATCTCAGGTCACCCATGGAGATGGCCGAGTTGGTCTAAGCGCCAGATTAAGGTTCTGTTCTGAAAGGGCGTGGTTCAAATCCCACTCTCCACATTTGGTATGTAAATAAGAACAAAAAATAACAAAAATACTCTCAAGTTAATAAAATGGGCCAAAAGGATGTGACAAGAGCAAGGGTATTTTTATTATTTTCACCTTATTTAATGGAGATTTTTTTACAGTATGACCAAAATGATTGATGGTGAACAAACTATGCGATCAATTCTACCGCTTTTAAATTTCAGAAACCAAGGTGAATTGTCATGCCAATCTTAGGAAAGTCTTTCTGTTTTTGTGATTTGAATAGTATATAGTTTCTAATAGACTAGCCTTCATGCATGCGTTCACGCGTGTACATAAGACATTTTTTGATTCACGGGGTGTCATGCGCGACTTATACGTTTTAAATGTATTTATATGAGTGAATTGATAAAAAGAAAGTCAAATATTTGAAGTAAATGAATAATCTTAGATAATGCTATAAAAAAAACCATTCACAAACCAATCTGTTAACTCTAAAAATTACAAAACCTACGTGGCGCGCATGCCGAGTAACTAATAAGCTAACTACGTCCTTCGGTTGAATGCGGGGCGTGCCAACTCGTCCGCCGAGCTTGGCCGAGGAGTAAAATTTGATGATGTCGTGTTGAGCGCGCTGCTGACTTCTATATCTTGCGATTGCGACCGAGGAAGGAACGCTCTCGGTCTCTGGGTTCTATAGCCTGAAGACAAGGCTACTAATTCTACGGAGTTCACAAATCGTCGGAGCTTGATTCGGTCATTGTGATTATATTCGTAAGAGTATAAGCACGCCGAATCGAGACCAAACTATATGGGCACAGGTACTCAAATGTGATGTATGTCTTGATGGTAAACGTAGTTCGGCCGTCGGAATGCCGAACCCTGAAACTTACTTGCAAGTATTCAATCATAAAATCACTCGGCGTCCAATGCGCCGAGCAATGCAATTCGTAACACCCAACTATGCCGGAAAGGCTAGTGAGATGACCACTACCAACAAGGGCTCGAAAACCCTTCTCGGCCGAGATTTAGATAGATAATCGGTCGACCTCGACGCAGTGCTGTTTATCCAAATTGAAGGTGTTTCTCGGTCGGCTGATTCTGCGGTAGCAGTGCTGTTTATCCAAACTGAAGATGCTCGCCGGGTGCTTCCACAGTGCTGTTTATCCAAACTGAAGGTGTGTCGGCAGGAAAAGAAAAGGAAAAATCTCAAGGTGTTTGAGAGGTTTTGCGCAGGGCAATTGTATGCTCATTTTTGAAGGGGCTTTTCTATTGCGTGATTTCTTGTATTTATAGCACCTCATTCCTTGAGACCAATTCGCATTTTGATTTGGATTGGGAGTCCTTGTCCCATTTCACCTCTAACTCGAACAAACCTACTCCTACTGGGATTCTGAATTTTCCTTCCTTTTGAGGCTTTATTCCTTGCCGGTCGAGAATCCTGGTCGCACCAGGACTTCCTTGCCCTTTTCTACTTATCCGGACTACTTAGGATAGGATTTGGCCGACCCAGCCAACTGGCCCGGGATTTATTATTCGGCCCATAGTATTTGTTATCACCTTGGGCCGAGCACATCCTACTACTCGGCCCAGCAGTAATATTTTGGACCCAAACACAATCAAAACAGCTGAATTCACATAATAAAATCTGTCTTTCAATTTCCATCTACATCCTATTGAATTTGCAGTAATAATAGAAAAAATAATATATAATAAACAACTGATTGAATTACATTATTGTTAGTCCATTGTAAGGCTAAGCCCACTCCTCCCCCTTAGTGTAGATAATATTATTTGTTCAAAAAAAAAAAAAAAAGCAATCATTTGACAACTAATTTAATCACATTATTATGCGCGTGTGAAAGACTTTTCTTATAACCGGTATTACACGCCTCTTAAGATGATTTGAAAGTGTTTAAAAATAGAGAAAATAATATTTAATGAATAATTTATTGAATCACATTATTACTAACTTATTGAGACACTAATTTAAAAAAAAAAAGAATGAATAAAAAAATTATACAAAAAGAATTAATTATTATAAAAAACACTGTTAAAATGATGAAAATACTCATTCATTATTTTGGGTTGCTTTTATTTTTTTTTTTGTTTTGGAAGTATTTTTGTCCAAATTTTTTTGATGAAGCTTGTGACCTCAAAATGGGTTGTTGGCTTTATGTAAAGATTATTCACAATTTCAAACCCAACCCTAAAAATATATATTTTTTATTCCTACTAAATTATTATTAATTAAAAAAAGGTTAGACCTTATTACCAACTTGTGGTTATTGACAAATGG